AGTCTGAAATGTCCAGTGAGCAAATGGTGATACAGGACTGAACCTCAGGGGACAGATTGGGAATGGATAAGACCTGGGAGTCATCTGCACAGAACCCACAGAAGCTAAGGAAGTTACAAAAACAGGGTAGAGAGAAAGAAGGTCAAACACAGAACTTCTCAGGAAGCATCCACAATTAATAGATTATAATTGGACTGTGAGCCAGAAAAGGAGACTGAAGTATCTAGGAGGAGAGGGCAATAAATAGAAAATAGTAAAAAGTGTCAAGCATAGGAAATAAGATGAAAAGGACTAAGACAGAAAAAACCATCAGATTTGGCAATAGTCAACAAACATTTATTAAGTGCCTACTATGTGCCAGGTACTCTGCTAAGTGTGGGGATGAAAATACCAAAAAAAAAAAAAAAGGACAGTCCCTTCCCTCAAGGCACCGACAATCTAATAGGGGAAGACAACACACAAAAGAAAACTGAAAGGGGGAAAAGGGCAGTTATCCAGTAGTGGCAAGGTAAAAGTCAAAAAAGTCTAAAATGAGAGCTGCCAGAGAACTCAAAGAGGTCCAAAATGAATGCAGCTGGGTGAGAAACAACATGTCGGAGATGGCTGTCCTGTCCCTCTCCTTAAAGTGGAGGAATTTATGGCTCCACCCCCCATTAGAAGGGCAGAAGGCACTAAGTGTAAGTAACAAGACTGACTGGATCCAGCAAGATGACAAGATTTCCCAATGATGAGTTTACTGGGCAGCAAGGTAGAGAAGTCCAAAATGAGTGCAGCTAGGCAGGAAATGAGATGTCTAAGGAAATGACTGGTAATTTTGGAGAGAAAACCACATTGCAAAGAATTATGCAGTGAGAAGAGAAGCAGAGGTAGCAAGTTTAAACACCTTTTTCAAAGAGTTTGGCAGAAAAAGGAAGAAGAGATGTAATACAACAACTTGAGGAGTTTTCTTTTTTTTTTTTAAAGGATAGGGAAGATTTGGGCATATTTGAATTCAATAGGGAAGGAATCAGTAGAGAGAGAGATGTTGAAGATTTGAGAGAGAGGGGAGATGAATGAAAATATAACATGCTAGAGAGATGAGAGGGGAACATAACAAGGGCTAAATGAATAAATGGGTTGGACTTTGAAATAAGAGTCACCCCTTTGTCAGAGACTGAGAGAGAAGAGGAGAGAATGGGGAATGATTTCAAGGATTCTGAGACGAAGCAAATAGAGCAGAGTAAGTTGACGCTACACAATTTCAATTTTTTCAGTAAAGTAAGAAGCAAAGTCTTCAGCTTTGAGAGAATGGGAAAGGAGGAGGTGCAGAGAGCAGGCCTTCAGGAGTAAAGAAGTTTGAAATAGCTTCCGGAGGGGACATCTAGACGAGGGCAAAGAACAAGTGCAGAAGGAGTAAAAGATAAACAGATGTATAATGAAAGGAAATCAGGGCCAGACAGAAGAATGTCAGAATTTCTGGTAAGTGGAACACCTGTGAATAATGATTAAGATCTAGTAAGCAACTATCCCTATGGTGGAATGAAGGAGTAAGACATGGGACATTTAAGGAGGTTGAAAAAAATGGGAGGTAAGGATTTGAAGGAGCACCTACCTAAATATTAAAGACTCCTTACATAAGAGCAGGAGCTGAAGAGAAAAGAATAGAAGTGTTGAACTCTTTGACATAGGAGGGAGAAAACCTGATATATACTACAGTTACCATCATTTTTACTGGGTAGAAAACTTCAAATGTATGGACTTAAAAAAGTAAAGGCTATTGAGTAAAGCAGACAACGGGAAAGTCCAGAAGTGACAATGGGGAGCAAGAAGTGTTCAAGTTCCCCCACCAGTATGATCTACCTGTATCCCTCTCCATCCCCTTCCAAGAAAAGCATCCCTTATAAGTAACACTTTTTTTAAATAAAGAAAAAAGAGGAAAGGGAAAAAATTCAGTAAAATTGATCAAACAAATCAAAAAATTCCCAACAAAAAGCAAAAGCTCAACTAACATTGAAGATCTGCAACTTCTCTACAACTTACAGTCTTAAAAGTTGCCTGGGAATGAGAGGTTACAAAGGCAGTAAAGGCAGAACTTGATTCCAGGTTGTCTTGATTCTCTATCCACTACATTATGATGCCGCTTCTCTATTTAATTAAACACTGCTCCAAAAAGCACAAAGACTATGAATATAACTTCATTGGATTTATTTCTCTATATGAATAAAAAAAGCTGAACTCAATTTCTAGGTTACAAAATAACAGCCCTTGTGGTAAGAACAATATTTCTGAGGGTCTTGCCACTTTGACTTGGCCCTATAACACATTCCCAGATATTTTTGCTTGTTTTGTTCTTTCTTAAAAGGCACTGAAATTGTCCTCAAGACTTAATTGGCTCATATAGAGAAGTAAGGGACTTAAGCTACTGACCAGTCCTGGTCACCCAAGTACAAAAAGGGCCAGAGGCCCTTTAAGCATCTGACCTTAGACCATCACAAGAGAGATGTACTCAACAAAAGCAATCCTAATATCCTTAATATCCTTAATAAATATTCTTTTCCTTAATAGAGGATCCTTAATAAATATTCTTTTCAACAATTTCTTTCTTTCTCTTGCTATATTTCTGTTAACTGCTAAATAATTCCCAAATGTCTTATTTTGTTCCAATATTGGTCAGAGGCCTGGCCTACAACAGACATTATGTGCATCAAGAGTAACTTCCAGCTGCATCTTTGAAATGAACAAAATGTGTGCACACGTTTCTATATACACACTGTATAATAACTTAGTGATTACAAAATAGACATATGGTGAAAATTGATTGACACTATTGCCAAGACTAACATATCAGAAAACTTTTGTCTTTGTAGATAATCATTTCTAAAAAGCTAACCAAATTTAAACTGCTTTACTTTTTTATAGCCCAACTTATCTGTAATATTCCCAAAGAACCCCGTAAGTGAAAAACAACTTCTGAGCACCAAATAGATATCACAAAACCTCCAAAGGACAAGGAAACTATACAACACAAATGATTAAAAACAAGGCAGCATATTTACAATCAACAAAACAGTGACAGCAGCTCAAACTGATAACTGACATCAGAGAGAGGAGACAGAAGAACTACTACTCTAAAAGCACTACATTCTGGAGCCATTTAGTGCAGAGATAAGCAGCCACTATGATGCTTCAACTCATAAGTATCTGGAGTGAAAGCCTCTTTGAGCAAAGTTGGCATGGAGATGGAGTAAGATGAGAATTGTTTTACTGAGCACTACATGATGGCTCAGGAGTATGCAACAGCAATGCGTTTTCAAGTACACGTAGATTTAAAAATAAAAATGACAACAATTTTAAGTTTTCCCTGTCCTCCCATACCTTACCTATCCAGCCAGGACACACCAAAATTTTACTTCCCTTGTCTGCTTATCTACTAAGTAAACTTTGTGGTGAACTACAAAGGACTGGAGTAATTCAACCCCAATTCCCCACTACTGGGAGCTAGTGGGAATGTCAGAGGTAATTCTCTCTTATGCTGCAATACTATCATAGGTATATCATTTGAAGCAAATATATGACTTACAAATAAGAACTACCATCATCTAAGATTAGTGAAATCTAGCTAGCTCTACCAAGGCCATGGCGATACTAGCACCAGGTCTCCACAAAGGTTGGTCATTATGTAGCAAATGGTCAGCCTCAACATCACTGGGAAAGAGTTTATCCTGAGAGACATAAAAGCAGCACTCCCATGGGTTTTGAGGTTAAGGAAGCCAAACCTAGCTTATAAAGAGGGCAAAGGTGGGAAAGGAATAATAATCTATGTAGTACAGCCCTCCTTTAGCTTCTCTATCATTCCTATGTAAGAAAACAAAATTTCTGACAACAAAGTATATCAATGAAACACATTCTCTTCACTGATAGCAGTATTGCAGTCTACTCTGAGTGCATCATACTATTACATTAGAGTTTAACAACTTCTCATCACATCAACTGAATCATCAAGAAAATGCTAAATTAAAATGAATACATAGGTATTCTCCAACATACAAATAAGCTATGTTCCAAAAGTTTGATTCTAAATTGCCTATTTAGACTCCGTATACATTTTCACAGAAAAGACATTATAACTTGTAGGTAAATTCCCCAGACTAGCCAAATACCCATATTTAATCATTACTATCACAGGAATATAGGTCCACAGAGGCATGGTTTTATTACCTAGGGAAAAAATTTATATAACACAGTTCTACCCTTTTAAAAAATTCAGTTAATACTAGATAAATAAAGCAAAATCACACATAAAGCACTATGGAATAGAGTTTATGAAAAACTAGAAAGGACCCTAAATTATACTGTATACTGTCACATTCAAAAAAATACTATAGATTCATCTTTAAATCAAACCATACCCAAAACATATTCAGTTACTGGCAGTCTACAGTTCCCATTCTGGGGGGGTTTGGTACAATGAAAAATGATCGTAATTCTGAATCTATCTTGTAGTCTAAATTTTTAAGCAAAAAAAGACATTAAATAATTCAGAAGTGTTTATCAGCACATTTTTATTGTATATGTTAGCTTAAAAGTTTATTTTCTACCAAAACATAAAGTTGCACCCCAAAATAAAATTCTGTTTAAAGGATTATAGTCTGATTTTATTGGGAAACACTTAACAAATTAACAAAACATAAACAAAACAAAACATAAAAACAAAAACATTACATATTCTGTAGGTTATCACAAATATTTCCAAAAGTGGACATTTTTAATTTGTCAAATCATTAAATAGTTGGATTGAGTAACCAGAATCTGAACATAATTTTCACTTTGTTTTGACAATTAATAACTTAAACAACACAAACTTCCTGACCTAGAAACAGTTTAATAATAGATTTAGAACTTATTCCTAATTATCTCCTGAAAAACATTTTTGTAGTAGTACATGACAATGACATAACTGGCTAGAATGGGGTGTTAACACATATCCTGCATTGAAATTAGTTTGCACATCTAATACTTACTTAAGGAAGATCCATGGAGAACTGCACAGTTGGGACAGTGATACAGGTCAATATCAACAGCATGATGTTCTTCTACTCTAACACAGCTAAGATAGAAAGAAAAAATAAAATTCATAATCGAAAATAACTTTAAAAGAAAGCTGCATCAAACACAATGTACTGAAAGGTTCAGTCTTATAAATTTAAAACTAAAATTACCAACCATTTTAGCTGTGTGTACGTACACACACACACACACACTTTCCCTACCTACACTGACAGAACTTGCCAAAATTATATTCCACTTGCTCAATTACCTGCTATGCAAACGTGGAGAGAAACTTCAAGGATCAGGAGTAACTCAACATGAATTCCACACTATCAAAAGCTAATAGGAATGTCAGGAGTAATTCTTTTTTTTTTCTTTTTTTTGTGTATATAATATTTTTTTTTCAATTACAAGTAAAGATAGCTTTCAACATTCATTCTTTATAAGATTTTGAGTTCCAAATTTTTCTCCCTCCCCAACACAGCAAGCAATCTGATATAGGCTATACATGTGCAATCATGTAAAACATAGTTCCACATTACTGATGTTGTGAAAGAAGAATCAGAACAAAAGGGAAAACTACAAAAAAAAAAAAGTGAAAATAGTTTGCTTTGATCTTCATTCAGACTCTATTAGTTCTTTCTCTGAGTGTGGATAGCATTTTCCATTAGGAGTCTTTTGGAATTACCGTGGATCATTGTATTGCTGAGAAGAACTAAGTTAATCATAGTTGATCATCACACAATGTTACTGTTACTGTGTACAATGTTCTCCTGGTTCTGCTCACTTCACTCAGCATCAGTTCATGTAAATCTTTCTAGGTTTTTCTAAAATCCACCTGCTAGTCATTTCTCATAGCACAATAGTATTCCATTACACTCATAAAACACAGCTTGTTCAACCATTCCCCAATTGATGGGCATCCCCTCAATTTCCAATTCTTTGCCACCACAAAAAGAGCTGCTATAAATATTTTTGTACATGTAGATCTTTTCCCCTTTTTTATGATCTCCCTGGGATACAGACCTAGTAGTGGTATTGCTGGATCAAAGGGTGTATGTACAGTTTGGTTATCTCTGGGCACAGTTCCAAACTGCTCTCCAGAATGTTGGATCAGTTCATGACTCCACCAACAATGCATCAGTGTTCCAACTTTACCACATCTTCTCCAACATTTATCATTTTCCTTTTCTGTCAGATTAGCTAATCTGATAGGTATGAGGTGGTACCTCAGAGCTGTTTTAATTTGCATTTCTCCAATCAATAGTGACTTAGAACAAGTCTTAAGCCACAATACCTCCAAAATCATTGTCACTGAAATCACTGTATAAATTTTAAAAAATAAGTGCCCTTTCCTGGGCTAGATCAATGAAATGTGGCTCCACCAATCTCAGGGCAAGAAAGATAAGCCACAAAAACTGTGTTCAGGTGTCATGTCCATGGTGAACCCATTAGTCTAGTATGTGAGAGATGATGAAATTCAAAAGTGAAAGGAGGGAGAAAGACCCTAAATAAAGGGTTAAGCCAAGTTATCCTGGCATAGAAGAATATTATAACCCTATTCATTTTCAAATTATTTAGTAAAATTATGTTCATGTTAAGAGTTGACCTAGATAACCCATTCAACTCTGAGGCTCTATAATTCTGTGTCCAAGCCCAATTTTTAATCACCACTGGCAACCGAGCAACTTACTTCCTTGAGTGCATTAATATCAATGACAATAATCTGCCCTACTGATTATTAGCATCAACACAGACAACAATTATCATTTTTAATTGGGATAATTTTTAAAATGCTGAAATATATAATTATATATACTAGAAAGTTGCTTAACATTTTAAATCATCATAACAATTTAGTAAAAAAGTAAAGTGTAGTGATACTTTGGTAGAAATAAACTTTACAGAAAAAATAAACACTGAATAATTTATATATCAATGATTAATGCCAGATCGTTTCTTTTTTTGTCTTCATATCCCAATATCTACTATAGTACCTGGCACATAATAGATATGAATCCATAGTCTATATGTGATTATTGAGTTGAATGTTAAATCATACAATAAGAGCTACAAAACTTCACAACCTTTGACCCAGTGATTCCATTACTAGGGTTGTACCTTAACCATATCAAAGAGTTATTTATTTTTTTTAAATGTTCAAAACAGTATTACTCATAAAAGACAAAAACCAGAAACAGTTAACATGTCCAATAACTACCCAAATTTTGGTATATTAAAAAGTGGAATATTATTGTACTATAAGAAATTACAAATGACAAGTCCAAAGAACACAAAGAAACATAGGAAGACATGAAATGATGCGGAGTAAAGTAGAAGCAGAATATATAAACTAACGGCAACTAAATAAATATAAGTGCTAAATAACAGAACTTGGAAAAATACAGAAGGAAAAATATTCAGAAGAGTACAAAGAAGCAAATAGCATGTTTTTGCTACTTTCTGCTAACGTCAACTGATATTTTAAAGCAAATATAAAATAACTAAAGTTTATCATTTCATATCATATCATTTAAAATGAAAATGTTTTCAAGAAATGGCAATAAGATATTAAAGTATACAAAAACCATAGTAATAACACATTTCTGTAACATTTTAAAGCTTATGAAGTACTTTCCTCACAACAATCATGCAAATTAGGTGGGTAAAAGTATTATTTTCATTTCATTGACAAGTTACCTAAGGCATAGAAAAATTAAACGTATTTAAGGTTACATAGCTATTAAGTGTTATAATTGGAATTTTTGAACCCAAGTCTCCTGACTCCACTCCAGTACTCTTTCCACTACATTATGCTATTTATTCCAAGTAAATATTTAAGACCAAATGTAGACCTTATGGAAGATTCTTTTTTTATTATTAATTTATTTTAAGTTATCAACAAGCACTTCCATAAGCTTTTGAGCTTTAATTTCTCTCCCTCCCTCCCCACCTCTCTCCCTAAGACAGTGCACAATCTGATATAGGCTATACATATCCATTCCTATTAAATTATTTTCACATTAGTGATGTTGTATGTAAAAATTAAAACCAATAGGAGGAACCACAAGAAAGAGAAAAAAAACAAAACAGAAGAAAAAAATAGCAAACAGTGTGCCTCCTTCTGCATTCAAACTCCATAGTTCTTTCTTCGGATGTGGATAGCATTTCCCATCATGAGACCTTTGGAGACATCTTAGATCTTTGTATTGCTGTTAAGTCTATCAAAGTTAGTCATTGCACAACGTGGCTGTCACTGTGTACAACGTTCTCCTAGTTCTTCTGACTTTACTTTGCATCAGTCCATACAAGTCTTTGCAGGTTTTTCTGAAGTCTACCTGCTGATCATTTCTTATAGCACAATAATATTCCATTACATTCATATACCACAACTTGTTCAGCCATTCCCCAACTGATAGGCATTCCCTCAATTTCCAATTCTTTGCCACCACGAAAAGAACTGCTATAAATATTTTTGTACATGTAGGTCCTTTTCCCATTTGTATGATCTCTTTGGGATACAGCCCTAGAAGTGCTCTTATTGGATCAAAGAGTATGCACATTTTTATAGCCCTTATGGCATAGTTCCAAATTGCTCTCCAAAATGGTTGGATCATTTCACAACTCCACCAACAATGCATTAGTGTTCCAATTTTCCCACATCTTCTCCAATATTTATCATTTTCCTGTTTTGTCATGTTGGCCAATCTGACAGATGTGATGTGGTACCTGAGAGTTGTTTTGATTTGCATTTTTCTAATCAACAGTGATTTAGAGCATTTTTTCATATGACTATAGATGGCTTTAATTTCTTCATCTGAAAACTACCTGTTCATAGCCTTTGACCATTTAGCAATAAAAGAAAAAAAACTGAAGATATCAAAATAAGCAAAAAAGAAACAAAGCTATCACTCTTTGCAGATGACATGATGATATACTTAGAGAATCCTAGAGAATCATGTAAAAAACTACTTGAAATAAGAAACAACTTTAACAAAGTTGCAGGTTATAAAATAAATCCACATAAATCATTGGCATTTCTATGTATTACCAACAAA